TTATTCTTGAAGGAAAAAAAAATCTCAGTGCATTGGTGAATGTGCAGAATCGCTGAGAATAAAAATCTTCCTGCAAAAGTCTCCAGAATTTTCCCTTTGGTGAAGCTGCTCTAAAGAGTGAATGACCCTCCAAAACAGAAGCAAAACATGGCTCCAACCTAAGCCTCCCTGTCCCTTGGGCCTTCCTTTTGCACTCGCCCAGAGAAGCACAGCTCTTCTTAAAGAGAGTGAAAGGAAAGTGGAATCTGAGTCTCAGTGGAGAGTCAATACCCAGTGAACAGTGGTTGGATCCGCTCTTTCCCGGCACTGCACGGAGACGCTCCCGTGGCTGGGGAGGGGAGACCTGGCTCTCTGCAAACTCACGGGCAGGGGTTCCTGGCAGCTGGGGTGTCAGGGCCACCCAGGAAAATTGTTAGTGGTTCTGTCTAATGAGCACTCCTGCCATCTGCGAACAAGTGGTACTAAAAAAGCAGGTGCTGAATTCCTGCCACTGAGAACACTGAAAAAGACACCCCTGGCTTCCCTCAGAAGCTTCAAATCTAAGTGTGTGCTGATTTGGGCAAAGAAGAAAATTCCACCTTCAGTTTCATCCAAAAGAACTGGCTGTTAGCAATGAGGGTCGATTTCCAAATTGATGGAACTGTGCCCTCCAGCCTTGGCACCTTCCTTCCTCTGCCCTCCGGACTCTTTTTCTCTGGCTGGTCAGAACACTTGTGCCTTCCCTGGGCACCGCCTTACTCTACAGTGCCTACTCCAGGAAGCCTTCCTGACCAAGCCAGTTCTTTTCCCCTCCTCCTCTGACCCCCATCATGAGCAGCCTTTACCCCACAACTGGCTACTGTCTTGTTTTGAAGTAGCAGCCTCTGTTGGTCCCTTAACCACTGTCACACGCAAGCACTCTCTGGTATCGGGCTGCCTTCACAACCCCTTTGGGGGAGCAGATGTGGTAAAAATGACTAGAACGTAGCTCCCCTCGCTCCTTCCCTGACGCCCAGCAGCACCCACTTCTGAACTGAGCATGCAGGAGGTTGATTGATTAGCATGTGGCTTTGTGACACATCACAGAACAGAGGGGCCAAGGGATTTGGTGGTGGGGGGAGGCGGGGGTGGATAAAAAGGTGGCAGATGTGACTTCTGACTTTTATCATTTTCATCCTTTTGGTCTTTGGGTAGAAATGCTGGACGCACAGTAGGTGCTAACTAGATTTTTATGGAGTGATTAACCACTGCAGGAACAGAGACTTCTGCCGGACGTACTAATGCTTTGGATGCCAAATAGGGTGGGTTGAGTGGCACCTGATGTTGGAAGAACAAAACAGCCAACACCATTCTGAGAACTGGCTCCCGTTCCCGTTGCATCGTCGGCGCTTCTGGAAACAGATGTCCTCTTAAGGCCTGCAGGGTTTTGATGAGACGTCCACTCTTCCAAGTGACCTGTGTGTTCAGTAATCAAAGAGACATTCTGCCCTGCCACAGCATCCTCTGTATCCTAAGCCTGAATTCCAGTTCTGGGCCAGATTTGGCTGCCAATGAAGGCAAAATCAGCAGTCGTTGTGTTTCTTGAAGAGAAAAGCACTGGGTTAATAACTTTTAAAAAATGTATTTGTATGTTGAGTATGGAGCAAAGAACAAAGGCTTTGGAACCAACCAACTGGGCTCAAATTCCAACACTGCCGCTTCCTGGCTGTGAGCTTTCAGAACGCGACTCTGTGACTCAGCTTTGGGGACTGATCATGGAATTCCACTGGCGACTGGGGCGAGCGAACAGATGTCATGTGTGGAACCACCTGGCGCCATGTGGGCAGGTGGTCACCACAAAGTGAATGACAGACTGTTGCAGTCTTGATTGTAAGTGGCAGCGAGGACAGACATCCATCTTGGTCATAATTTGTTCCTGTCGCTTCCCAACCAGGTCCAATGTGGCTTCCAGGAGAGCTGCTTCTCGGTGACAATTGTAGCCTTTCTAGCACCTCTAGTCTTTGCCTTATTGCACATGCCAAGAAAAAAAGGTTCTAGAACATTCAAATGGACGTCCCTTTGCAAGGCAAGTGTACACCTTCACAACCCATTTGTCTGGACCATGCATGCACACAGGAGTCCCGGGCTCAGTCCCATTGGGGGGTTGGGGCGGTAATCAGGACACGGAGGGCTGGCTTGAGGGACACACACCACAGAGCTGGTCCCGATCCCAGCCCTCATGGAGAAATGTCTGGCCAGGACCAAGGGAATTCCCAGGTTCAACACTAGACCAATGAACCCAGGTACCACCCAGAGAGAAGCAGGCCAACCCCAGGGCATGTCCCATGGATCACGAGGCAGGAGAGAAGATTCCCTTCCACAGCACACCACAGCCAGCTTCTAGATTGCCTCCCTCTGTCTGGGGGGTGCTGGATGATGGGGAAGATGCCATGAGCTGCACGGGTCCAGAGGAAAGGGAGCGGTCATGTCTAGCCAGAGCAGACCCCCTGGCGGCCTCGTCCAAATCCAACAGCTCCTCGCTGGGTGGGGTTCCGCTGCAGAAGGAAGCTCTTGGCTTTAGATCCAGGAAATCCTTGTTTGCATTCAGGCTCTGGGGAAGCAGGAAGGAGGGGTGTGCAGCGGGTAGACTGGCTCACTGTGATTCTGACTCATGTATTTTTACTCCTGCCCCTGACAAACTGGCACCCCTCAGACCAAGCAGTCGGCCAGTTGTAGCTGCACCCAGGCTAAAGGCAATGGTGCTGGGGGCTGCCCCTGGGGTCTGAGGCCAACCCAGGAAGAATCCTGCCATCAGCACCTGGGGACAAAGCAGAACAGGGGGCGGGGGGGGGGGGGGGGGGAGGCTTCTTGACTTGTATTAGGCTTGTCAGGGGCTCCTCCCAGCTCCCAGTGGTCCAGCGATGGGAGGGGAGGGGGGTGCCGCCCTCTGCTGCTCCAGACCCAGGCCTGTAAATCACAGATGCAGACCGCAGTCCCCTCATTTCAGTTGCTCCCTACCACAGGCATAAACAGCCACTCACTCTGGGTCTTTTTTTCTGCTCCTGGGCTCCCTCAGAAGCAGGAGGTGCATCCTCAGAAACCCCAAGTCACCCCTTCCCCACTTTCCTGTCTTCATTGCCCTGCAGCCACCGGCTGGGACATCATCCGAAGAACTCAGCATGCCAAACACATCTACCCTCCCCTAGACGTGGGGGAGCAGGAGGCCCTCCCCCACCCGGCTTTCCTTTCAAGGCACCCTGACCCCTCCCATTGGAGACACCCCACTTTTCCTGGCTGGGTCTTCCTCCTTACCCCAAGTCCACCGTTTTGGTGGGGGTGGGGGAAAGACCTCAGGCGCCGAACTTGCCCAGTTTTTTTTTTGTCTTCCCTTCTCAGGAAACGCTGCCCCTCTCCCACCTCCTGGCCATTTCCCGCCGCCCTCCATCCCTTTCCTTGACAGGCCTCCTGCTCCCCTGGCTAGATTATTATTATTTATTATTTATCATCCGCCACACTGTACCAGAGATCTTCCAACAAGATATTAAAGAAGACACAATCCCTACTTGGAGTTTACTACGGGGCCGAGCGCGGGCCTGGATGCCTCCGTGCCGGGAGGGCTGAGCTCGGGAAAGGATTTACCAACTGAGCCGCCAGCCCGGGCAGCCGGGGCGGGGCTGACGGTGCCCGCGCGCAGCTCCCCCCCTTACCTACCTCCCGGGTTCCAGCACGCCTGGCCTGGGGCCTCCTGGCGGGGACCGGGAAAGCGGTGGGGTGGGAGCTGAGGGGAGGGGGTGGAGGCGGAGAGATGGATGGGGGGACCGAGCGGGGGTGGAGTGAGGAGGGGGATTTGAAGCCCCAAGGCTCTCAGGCTGGGGAGGGAAGGAGGGGGTGGGGGACCGGATACTTGCCCTGAAATTCAAAACCAGATGTGGGGTGCGGGTAGGGGAGGAGGGGGAGGTCGGGAATAAAAACCAGATCTGGAGCTTTACCGGGACTGGGTGGGGGAGGAGGGTGCTGAAATGAAGTGTCTGGCCCCTCCTGGAGGGCCGCCAAGGCCTGTGGTCAGGGCCTGCCCATCTGTGTAGACCGCAGGTGTAGACGGTGCGGTGGTGGTGGGGGGCGCTAAGGAAGTCGGTGTAGACGTGAAGCAAGGAGAATGGGGCTCAGTGTAGACAAGAGCGCCGGTGTGGCCCGAGCAGGGCCTGCCAAGGAGGGGGTGCGCCGAGGCTCGGGGGTCCTGCCGGAGCGCCGCGCCGCGCCGCGCGGCGGAGGGTCGGCACTGCCCGCCTGGCGCGCGCCCGGGAGCCGCAGGGTTGGCCGCGGTCCCCGGGGATTTGCACCATCCCCGCCCCTCGCGGTGGCTGGAGTGTCGCCGGGAGGGCGGCAGCTGCAAGGCGATTGGACTCTGCGCTCAAACTTTTCCGCCAGTTTCCTCAGGTGTGGAGCGCAGACGCGGGGCGCCGGCCGGGGTCCGCGCACCCCCCGAGCCCGTGCCGGCGGGGGCCCCGGGGGCCGAGCGAGCTGCGGGGGCCACGCGCGGGGCCTCGGCCGGGCGATCGCGGCCGCCGAACGCGGGGAGCCGCGCGCGGCCGTGGGTGGGGGGGTGGAGAGGACGGGCCGGGGGCCGGCGGCGGACGCCGGCTTTGGGGGAGGGGGCGGCCCCGACGCGGCCGCGGGCACTCGGCCCCGGGCCCGCGCGCGCGCGGCGGCCGGGGAGCCCGCGGGGCCCCGGGGAGCTGCGCCGGGTGCCGGGCCCGGGGCGCCCCGCCTCCCGCACCCTCCGCCCCCCGCCCACTCGGGCGCCCGTGATTGGCTCCGCCCGGCCTGGCCGCGCGCCCGAGCCCGCCTCCCTCGCAGCTAAAGCAGACGGTCCCCGGAGCGGAGCGAGCCAGAAGGGAGCATGGTCCCCGCGCCGCGGCCGCGCCAGCCCCCGCGCCGCCGCCGCCGTCCCCGCCGCCGCCGAGCCCGCCGCGCCCCCGGCCGCGCCGCGCCCGCCCGCCGCGCCTGAGCGCAGAGCGCAGCCCCCGCCCCGGAGCCCGAGCCCCGAGCCGCGAGCCCGGAGCCGGCCCCAGCCCCGCGGCCGCCGCGGCTGCGGGGAGAGGGCGGGGGCGATGCTGCCGGAGCCGCCGCCGCCGCCGCCGCCTCGGTGAGAGCCGCGCCGTGCACCGCCGCTCGCCGCCGCGCAGGCTGACAGGCACCCGGACCCGCTTCCCTCGCGCGGGCATCCTCCCCGGGCTGCCGGGAAGCGGCGGCGGCGGCGGCGGAGGAAGAGGAGGAAGAGGAGGAGGAAGAGGAGGCGGAGGAGGAGGACGAGGAGGAGGAGGAGGAGAAGGGAGAAGCGGACCGGGCGGAGGGCAGCCGCGAGAGGAGGTGGACCTGGAGCCGTTTCTCCCGGCCAGGACCCGCGCGGCCCCAGCCACCGCTCCCCGCCGGCGCCGTCCCCTCTCCATCAGTCCCCCTGCGCCCACCCGCGACCCCCGGCTTCCCGCGCGTCGGGCCGGAGCCGGAGCGGCACGGCCGGAGGTAAGAAGCCGGGCTCGGGGCGCCCAGGCTGCGGCGCCGGGGTCCCGGGGTGCTGGCGGCGGCTCGGGGCCGGGCCGGGCCGGGGAGCGGGGCCCGAGAACCCGGCACGCTGGGCTGGGCTCCCGCGGCGGTGACGGCGGCAGGAGCCTCCGGCGTCTGGACTCGCAAGGCTGCTACAGCCCCTTGCGCCTGCGCTGCTCCAGGCGAGGGGGCAAAAAACGGGGGGAAAAAAACTTCCTGCCTCCGGGTGTGGATGCACTGGGGGGCGAGGGGGGTGCCCGGAGCCAGTGTCGCTGTGGTTGGCGGGTGCTGGAAGCGAGAGCGGCTCCGGCCGGGGCAGCCCCCTGTGCTGGGCCCCGCAGCGCGCGGTCCCTGCCCAGGCCACCTCTCCTGAGCGGCCCAGGGCCCGGACTGGGCTGGGGAGGGGGGGACGGGGGAGGAGGAGGGGGACCCAGCGCGAGGGGACCCAGCGCGAGGGGCTTCGAAGGGCTGGACCCTGCGATCCGGGGACGTCCGCTCGCGGTGTAGCAAGAACCCAGGCGGGGGGCTCTCCCCCTTGCGATCTCAGACCCCCGCGTGTGGGGACTAGGTCTCTTTACTCGAGCCCAAGTAACTTTGGAGGTGCAAGAGCTTGCAGACCGTCAGGAAGGAACCCCGCACAGACCTTGTGGTGACCCTTCCTCACCCCCCCCCCCGCCCCGCACTGCCCCCCGTGTTCTTTGCACGTCGTAGGGATGCGATCTTGCCGGGGTGAGGGGTGGCGCGCGGAAAGGGGAGCTCACGGGGATGGCGAAGGGGCGAGGAGGACGTGGAGGTGCCGGCTTGGGGAGGGCTTGTTTATGTGTGGGATAGTACGGACCGGCAGCGGTGGAAGGTGGGAGTGTACCGCGGGGGGCGCGGCGGCCCAGGGCTCACGTCCGAAACGCCGTGGCCTGGAGAGCCTGGAGCGTCCAGATTCTGTTGCACGCTCGGGGCCGCTCCAAGCTCCCCCTCTTTCTCTTCCCGCCCCCCCCCCCCCGCGCGGACAAGGGGACCAGGGTGTGCTTGAGCAGGGTCGCTGCGAGGCGGCTTCGGGCAGGATGATGGGGGGCTGCGGCGGCTGGGGAAGGCGGGGACGCGCTGCCTGCCCGCAGCCACGGGTCTCGGAGCACAAGGGCTGGGGCCACCCGGAGCGCGAGTCTCGGATGCCGGGGTCCGTGTGCGGAGAAGCCCCGCGCGACGACGCTTTCCGAGCGAACGGCCGATGCGGTCAGTTAGCGGGTCCTCCACCCGAGTCCCTCGGGGATGCTGACGGGCGAGGAGCGGCCGCCCCTGACGTCCCTGCCGCCCGGCGAACGCTCTCCGCCCTCCCTCGGGTGCTGGCGCCGCGGCGCGCCCGGGGCGACGCGGGGACGCAGGTATTTATGTAGCATTAGCGAGACCTCGGCGCTGCAGGGACCGTGCACTACGCCTGAGCTGAGCTACTGCTGCTGCTGCTGCTGCTGCTTCTGCTGCTGCTGCTGCTGCTTCTGCTGCTGCTACTACAGCTGCTGCTGCTGCTGCCTCGGAAGAAACTTGCACTCAGTCAGCTCAGGGACCTCAAGGCTTCGGGGGCTGCAAGCTGCAGCCCCTCGCCAACAGCAAGGCTGGTGGAATTCAGGAATTCGGATGCCTCTTGCAGCTGCAGTTCTGCCTGTGAAATCTGCATTCACCCCCATTTCAGCCCCTTTCAAGTCATCTTTCTAGTCACTGCTGAGTTCCTGCCCTTGCTCCTTGGTCTTACCGCTGACTGCCCCAGGCCGAGAATTATTATTTCCCTTGAGGAGGAAGGCAGGCAGATTTAATGAACCCTCCTCATTTCTGATGCCTAAGAAAAAAAATCACATCTGGGTTTGTGTAGAGGTAACTTTTCGACTCTTTTTTTTTTTGGCGGGTGGGAGGGGGTAGGGTGATGAATAGTTTTGTCAACCGCCCATTAGAGCCTGGTCCTTGGTAGCACCGTGGTCCATTGAGGCACAGGTGATCCTGGAAAGCCTGGTCACTGGGTGTGGGTTTGAGTCGCCATGAATTCTAGATGTTTCTCCAGGTATAGAGCCGTGTGCCCGCCATCACTATCATCTCCTCCCCCTGTATATGTTGATGTGAGTGTATTTGATTTCTCCTCCCATCAATCAGGGAATCACTAGCATATGTGCCCTTAAACTCTATATGAATTTAACGACGTTTGAATTGGTTTATGGGTTGATGGCTTTTAACCAAATTTAATAACTTCTCTACACACGCATCTTATAAACCATATTTGTCCATGATTAAAGAAAAGCATTTTCTGCTACTCGGTGTCTACATTTCTGGCTTAGTTAATGCAATTTTTTTTTAAAGTCTCCAACTTTGATTTGCAAGGAACAATTCAAACGAAATACCTAGAGTTTTACCGAAATAAAATATTCTATGGTAGCCATGGTAACAAATAGATTAAGGGTTATTGGTTTTCATCCGTATGTAATGGAGGGGGGAAAATCTAGTGTTTGTCTTTTTTAATTGTGTTTCTAATGAGCGATGGTCATACTTCAAGGCTTTGGACTGGGAGAGAAGCAAAACTCAGAATTCAGTTCTGTGAGAGGTTTATTGCAACAAAGACTAGGATGGCCCAAGAGCATGAATTCTGATAGCTGCACTTCTCACATCCAGAAAGCAAATGGATAAAACCTTTGTGTTGCTTTTTAGGCAGATGAGAACTGGTTTCTATCCCTTTAAGATTAGGAAATATATTTTGATTATAAGCTATTACTACAGGAACCTTCATATTCAGCACCCTGTTTTCTAGGAATAAACATGTAAGAAGTGTGGATGTTGGTGTGGATTGAGTGTCACAGTTGTTATCAACACCTGTCAGTCTAAGTGAGGCATATCATTAGTCTATTCAGATCTTGCCTATTTCAATATTCATGCATTTCCATGGTGATCCATTCCATTTTTGTTTACTTAGTCAACCTTATAAATCTTTGGCATCAGCTTCAATTGTAACATCTTTTTTTCTCCTTTCATTTATCAATTGATTTGGCTGGGAAATCATTCCCAAATTAAAACATTTCCCGATTTTCCTGTACTAATTCCTGGAGATATACTATTGTTGGTTACACCCACGTATGAATGGGTTAATTTTTTTTAATAGACTCAAATAACACACTGATGTTAATGTAGGTTTTTAGCATCTCATCTGATATGTGTGTGCATGTTTTTTCTCTCTTTCTTTCAGCAGGCTTACAGTAAAACTGTCTGGCTTTATGGCCCGGAGACTCCAGTTCAGTCCAGCAGTGTTAACTAAAAGATCTTCCTTCCTTCCTTCTTTCCTTCCTTCCTTCCTTCCTTCCTTCCTTCCTTCCTTCCTCCTTTCGTTCTCCTTTCTTTATTTGCTTTCCTTCCACTCTCCTTCCCTTCATTCCATTTTACCCCCAGCCTATTATGGACCAAGAATTTTTTTTGTTTCTTTGGGGCTTGGAGGGTGGGGGCTACATTCAGTGGTACTTGGGGCTTACTCCTGGCTCTGCAATCAGAGATTGTTTCTGGTGGGACTCGGGACCATATGAGGTACTGGGTATCGGACCCAGGTCAGCTGCATGCAAGGCAAATTGCAAATACCCGCTTCACGATCACTCCAACCCCTGGTTCAAGGATTCTTATGTCTTCAGCTCTCTCTGGCTGAAACATACTTTGAGACTTTTTCTGTTAGAACAGGCCTGACCTTCTAGGATCTTTTTTTCCCCCCAATAATAGACAAAGACAGAAGATTCAGAAGCATCAAAGGAATTTCTGAATAAAATGTCTATTTAGTCACACCCTATACTATCCTTAGGAACATCTTAAGTTAGCTGAAAAGGCAATTTTGCTAACATGTGAATAATGGTTTTGCTCATTCACCTTCAACTTTGCTTTCTAATGTTGCAGCCCCATGCTAATCACACCCTGTATATTTCAGAAATACCAAGGTGATGTCAAGGCAAGCCTTAGCACACCACTGACTTATTAGGATCAAAGAAAGTAATTGAAATGCTTAAATTCAAAGTTGGATGGTGAAACGGGATTATAACCAACCCTGTGATTCTATCATTGGTCAGCCAAGTGCCAACTTGGGGTTGAGGAGGAATGAAACTAAGAAACTCAGTCATTTGGTATGAGTGAGGATAAACTAAAGTGGTAAAGACAATTAGAGAATAATAAATCTTTGCAGACAGATAGATAATATCTAGATCCAAAGGTTTGGAAACTGGAAGAATATCTGATGTTTGTGCAAAAGATGGTCATTTGTTATTCTTGAGGAAATTCGGGAGGGGGGTCTCTAAGATGCCATAGTAACTGGGTGACTTGATCTCTGGAAATTGCTTTTATTGAAAGTAAATGATGCCGTGGGAATAGTCTTGATTATTATGGTTAAGAAAGGAGAGTTTGTCAGGATTCAGTTGCCTTGTCCCGTGGCTCAAAGATGTTGGCATCAGAAACTGTTCCGAAAGCAGATGGGCTTGCTTCTTTCTGCCCTGACATGCTCATTTCCCAGAGTCCTACCTTGGAACTTGTGTCCATTTGTTCTTCAGGGAAATCCCCAGAAAACACGGATGTTTCTCCTGCAAGTCGGGACAAGCAGACTGATCCCTGGAAGCAGCAAGCCAGTTCTGTGGGGGGGTGAGCTCCATGTTGTCTTGGGCCATGGGCATCTCTTGGGTGCAAATGGGGCGGGACTGGCTCTCGGTTGCCAGGAGAGAGGGCACCGCAGTGAAACCCACACAGACCGTGGACTCTGGGCCACGGCAGCAGATTGATGCAGAGGGCAGAGCAGGAGGTGCAAAGAACCAACACAATGGGGGGGTCCAGTGCTGAGCCAAGAGCACAAACAAACGTTGAACAGCTGCCACGGACACCAGGGCCATCACTTTTTTTTTAAATCATTATTTTATAGAGTTTTAAAATTTTAAAAACCACTGAGGCTTTGGAGAAGATGTATATGGGAGAGATAGCCCAATCTACTG